TATATATATATATATATATAATTTGCTTTTTTTAATGCAACATCTTACAATGGCTGTGTCCAAAACCTCAAGCAGCTGCCTAATCAGTCTAAAAATTCACAGGCATTAGTCTCTTAAGCTCACCAAGGCTACATTTATTTGACAACAATACAGCAAAAACAGTAATATTATGAAAAATGATTGCAATTTAAAAGAACTGTTTTCTATTTTAATATTTTTTTCAAACATAATTTATTCCTGTGATGGCAGCTACTCCAGTCTACAGTGTCACATGATCCTGCAAAACATTTTTCAGGTTTCGGACACAGCCAATGTGTCATCAGCACGGATCAATTATGGGAAATGTATAAAACAAACATGGCTCAGCTATGAGAACTACATTACATTTTAATGGTGTAGGACAAGATGGTATAAAGGCAGTTTAATGTAAGCCAGTAAGGCCAATCATTTATCATAAATACATTACAAAAAATTCTGCTAAGCTTTCCCCGTCATATATTTTGACACTTATAGAGTAAGGCAACCCCAAACCACTCGGCCATATTTAAGCTCCATTCAATGCTTTTTGCCTTTAACAGAAAGAGCAAACATCACATTGACTGATTTTTGGCATTAATGATTAGTTTATAGATTAGCAACAGCACATTTGTGTGCTCAAAACTCAAAAGTCCTGTCTAGACTGAGTGTTTAAAAGAGGACTGTCACCTTGGCACACAGTTCAGACATCAAACGATCTGTATGTTCAAACACAAAGCAAAGAAGAGCCAGTTTGAATTGAGTCAACATAAGGAAAGTATCTCCACTAGGGATTTTTATACAGTTTCCTTTATGAAAAACAAAGAGAAGAGTCATCATAAGGAATGAAACTCAAGACCATTCAAACACAAAGCAAAGAAGAGCCAGTTTGAATTGAGTCAACATAAGGAAAGTATCTCCACTAGGGATTTTTATACAGTTTCCTTTATGAAGAAGAGTCATCATAAGGAATGAAACTCAAGACCCAAGACATTTATCACGGGCTGCTTATGTGGCAAACAATCGGCATGTCCAATTGGTGAAACAAAGCTGAGCATAAACCATGACTTTAGTCCTGGTTGGTTAGCTGGTCAGGAAACTAAGCTGAATTAGTATGTTAACTCACTGTTGTTGTAACACTGACATGGATGCACATATCATCTGTTTGAGGGTAAGGTAAGGCATCTGCAATGTCTAATCTAATATATTCAGAGGGCATCTGTCACACTTCACGAAACTGTCATGTTTTGATGCTAATCAAATATGAATATTTTCTTTGAGTTGCACTCATTAAAATGCCGCATTTCTCCATGCACAAGTGATAATGGCAGATAAATACATTATTTAAGAGTAACGGCACCCTCCAGTTTCTGACAAATTCTCACCAATAAATATGAGCTACACTATTAGGGGTGTAACGGTACACGTATTCGTACCAAAAATGTTACACATACCGAACAAATACAGCATTGTTTTAACCACTGTACAAGTTACATTTCATTGGGAACTTCCAGTTTTATATATTGTTACTTTTGATATGAAACAAAGTCTCATCTTTAAAAAAAATTTCAGGAAATACACTTTTTTTTTTACAAAAGCAACATTTTGACATTCTTTGATGTGACCTGACAGATCGCTGTATAAACGTCTCAGTTAAAACGGCAGCACAGAGCGCAAGTAAGCGCGATCATCCCTTACTCTTTACTACTAGTTTTAACGCCAAATAAACATGAACGAACATCTCATGCAATCGCTCAATCAGTTTCAACCGCAGAAAGACGTCAATAAAACAGCTTGTTAACAAGTCATCAGTGTCCACAGCTTGTGGATACTCATATTTTACTTTACCTGTTAGTGAGGTCTAGTAACGGCATAAACTCCAGTTCTCCTTTTCTCTCTAAGGTGTTTCTAATGGAAATGCTGTTTGGACAATAAGGTTAGGAACAATAATCAGGTCACTGACACTGCATTAGCATGAACAACAAGTAAAAAATGTACAAGAGTTGTCACATACACTGCATAAACTAATTACATTATCAATGAAAATGTGCATTTTGTATGTATTTTATGCTCACCAAGGCTGCATTTATTCGGTCAAAAATACAGTAATATTGTGAAATATTATTAGAATTACAACAGTTTCTATTTGAATATATTTAAAAATGTAATTTAATCCTGTGTTGGCAAACTCCAGTCTTCAATGTCACATGATCCTTCAGAAATCCTTTTAATATGCTGATTGGGTGCTCAAGAAACACTATCAATGTTAAATAATAATACTGCTTAATATTTTTGTGGAGAAGTTCAAGTTGATACATTTTTGAAAGAACATCTAAGCATTAATTTTAAATAGAAATCTTTTGGAACATTATAAATGTCTTTATCACTTTGGATCAATTTACTGCATCATTGCTGAATAAAAGTATTAATTTCTTAAAAAAAAAAAAGCTGACTTACAAAAACAGGGCCGCCGAGCAAAACACAATACATTTGAAATGTTCAGGAACTGAGACAGAGGTTGCATTTACCAAAAATGATTCATCATTTCTGAGCAAATTTTGAAAACACTAACAATATCTCAAAATGTTTTCCATCATTTAAGTAGAAAAAAATTGTGTGGTCTATCTTTTGTAAGTTTTCCGAAATTTATTCTTTCATTCAGCCTTAAAAAATAGCATGCTTCATATGCAAATGATCCAAAATATGTACCACTTTAATGCACTGGTCATATACTTGCAGACCTTTAAAAGAGTGTCTTAAAGGTGCAATAGGTGATTGTCTTCAGAAACGTTTTTTGTTATGCTGGTTAAATGTCTCTTCACATCCCGATAGCAATCATTAAGTTAAGTGGTCTAAATGAATTTATCTGTATTTATATATTCTGTGAAAGGCGTAGACCATGAAATGTGCGTCCAATCAAAATGCTTGGTCTGAGCATTTTAATTGGCTTTCCTACCTGCCTGTCAACATATGTATTAGCATACCCCTGTGCACCCGGTTAACACACCCGATTCAGATAACCAGCTCGTTAGAAGAGAGCTACATGCATGAACTGTGTTCCGATTGATATGATCTCTACACAGTGTTCCCTACTCCCTGAGCAGGGGAAATCCGTGAAGGGGAAAATTAAGTTTACTTCACTTCGGAACATGGGCTGGAATTGGGAGCCGCTGATGTAGCCTATTGTAGAATTGTTGTCTCTGGTATTCTGGTCTGTGAGTGTATATGCGTTCAGGGGGCATGGCTTTGGATGGCGATAGCAGGGAGGGTGGGACGTTCGCTTTCAGTGCTATCAGGCTAAAGTTAGCATTTTCCAAGATCTCCTACTGCACCTTTAATATTTAATATAGGCTATACAAAAGACTAGATTATGAGTTTACATCTTCAGTTGATGAAAGAAAATGCATTCAGTCATGATACAGTACATCTAACCTGTTGATGGATGTCCACGAGGCAGTCAATCAGGAGGGGCTAGCAGTTCTGCACAGATGCACACACAATAACAGAGTTACAACAGACAGAAATAAAGGGCGGCAGAGTGCACACACTCACCCAATAACTGAATAATGAAGCTGACATCCTTTATGTGCAAACTGTGTGTATAATACATACACTTCTATTCAAAAGTTTGGAGTCAATAAGATTTTTGAATGTTTTTGAAAAAAAAAACAGTTGCTGTATCTTTACACTAAAGCATATACTATTAAATTCACTATGTTTAGACTAGGTTAGCAAGACTCACAGATGTGGACTTGTGGTCATGCGGTCGCTCAAGTTTGATGCGGATGTCTGTACGGTTCTGCTCCTGGTTCTTTCCACCATCTGTTTTCCCGGCTGGAAACATAAGAACAATTATTTAATAGATAAAAACACAAACATAACCTACACTACTACACAAAGATGCACCAAAGATGTTTTATTTTTATAAATATGTTAAGGGTGTGAGTGAAACTATTTTGTACAGCTTGTTTCTCTCACCAGGAGAGCTCCCTCTGCCGGTTGTACTGGCAGTGCTCATGTTGTCCTCCAGCCATGTGCTGTATGTTAACGAGTCTCGTTTATGAGGAGTATCTGCTGATGACAGACTCTCCTGAATGGGACAAATACAACAAATTGCTCTAGCAGACATACTGACAAAACATATGAAGTCTGTCTTAGTGTTTTTTTTAAATGGTAGTCTCTACTGTGAACATGTTTGTGCCAAAGACAGTTTGCATGCAAGGACTGTGTAGTTTCTAGAGATGTTCATTACTTGAATGTGTTGAAGATAAATGTGCTTTTCTCACCATGCCGGTGTCATAGTCCTCTGTGGCCTCTGTTTCATTCTCCTCTACCACACTAGCAAAGCTGCTGGCGTTAGAGGAGGAGCGGGACAGGTCATGAGCCTCGGGAATGGAGGGAGCCTGGCAGTACATGCTTGAGCTACACACACATACATACATACAAAAACATGTTCTTAATGCCTTTACTTGTAACAAGCAAGAAACTCCCATAGTTCTTGTTGTCAGATCGCTTGCATCCACCAAAACACACAGCCAGGGTTCAGTAGCAAACCCTATCAAGCACCAAATATGAGCAAAAACTGACAATGTTCAAGCAGTGAACTTTTTATTTTCAGCTAATGTTTTCTCATTCATTATCATGTCTTTTTCACCACATCTCAAATTAAGGAAGTGATTGTAATTAAATTTTAAAAAATGTTCTCCCCATTTAGTATAATTAAAAAACAGCCTTTTTGGACACAGCACAGCATAAAAAATTCTACCTTTTTATTTATCATCTCAGACTTGCTCTTCATTAACACAGGTGTCTCCTTAATAAGCAAGTACAGAATTGTTAGATTATCTATAGAGATTTTAGATTTTACACACACACATGGCAGTACATGCTTGAGCTACACACACATACATACATACAAAAACATGTTCTTAATGCCTTTACTTGTAACAAGCAAGAAACTCCCATAGTTCTTGTTGTCAGATCGCTTGCATCCACCAAAACACACAGCCAGGGTTCAGTAGCAAACCCTATCAAGCACCAAATATGAGCAAAAACTGACAATGTTCAAGCAGTGAACTTTTTATTTTCAGCTAATGTTTTCTCATTCATTATCATGTCTTTTTCACCACATCTCAAATTAAGGAAGTGATTGTAATTAAATTTTAAAAAATGTTCTCCCCATTTAGTATAATTAAAAAACAGCCTTTTTGGACACAGCACAGCATAAAAAATTCTACCTTTTTATTTATCATATCAGACTTGCTCTTCATTAACACAGGTGTCTCCTTAATAAGCAAGTACAGAATTTTTAGATTATCTATAGAGATTTTACACACACACACACACACACACACACACACACACACACACACACAAAGTACTGCTTTGCATGATCACTCACTACATGTAAGATTTTTGGAACATAACCAATCCATCAGTACTGGCAATTTCAATTTTCAAAAATAAATCAGTGTTTACATCATTCTCACACAATATTTGAAGTATTAAAATGAAATATGAAATGTTTATTAAAATTAAAGATGTTTATTTAACTATTTAAATATATCGATATTATAATAATTTATATTTTATTATGCTTTTCGTAGATTAAGATATAAGATCTGGGTTTGGGACAAAAGGAAAACAATTTAATCTACACATTAAAATACATTTGAAAATAAGCAAAAATAAGTAAAGGCATAGTAAAAATGTTCAATTTAAACAAATTTTAACAAAACGTTGAAATCAACCCTTGAGACATAAAAGCACAAGGTTTAAGGCTCACTGAAATATGTGAACATATCGAATCAATCATCATTCAGGGTAATGCTTTTCACTTTACCTGTTCTTGGTGATGAGGACTTCAGGAGAGCTCTGATTGGAGGAGTTTTCAGACTTGGGGTCCTGGGAGGCGTGGCCACTGTCAGGAGTCTTCTGTGTGCTGGGGGAGCACTCTCTACTGCTACACACACACACACACACACACACACACACACACTTTCACCATCAGAGGGCAGCATAAGCATTGTGTTTAAAACTCGACATGTCAAAGGTGAGGTGACAGAGTCCAAGCTCAACAGCAGTCTACTCAGAGTTAGGTTAGATACAACAGTGCATGCTGATTCACATCACTATACTGAAACACATGAATTCGGAGCAACACAATTCAAAGGGCCTGTAAGTACTACAGCACATATGACAAAGGCCAGCTCATGCAAAATCAGTAAAACAGACATTGATTGGCTGAAAAATTAGCAGACCACCAATCAGTTAGCATGCTGATTTTGCATGTGTGACCAGTTTAATAATGTGCTAAAGGCCATAATTAATAGCATTTCAGATGCATTGCTATGGCCAGGTAAGGAAAGCAGCTACTCTATGGTTATAGAGGTGTCATTCTATGGTGGCATTTATACTTGGAGGGATCCACGATGAGCCTCCCATTCTTGAGAGTGATGCTGGGTAGAGAGAGACAGAGCACTGTCCTGTCCTCTGACAACAGAGCGGCAATTCTTCACCAAACACATAAACACACAAAAGGAGTGTAAAGTTCAGTGTAATATTACACGTTATGTTCTGCCTATAACTCTTTTATTTTATATTAAGTATTGTATTATTTATGCATGTACATTGCATGATCAATAAATGTAAGATTTTTGGGATACAACCATTCCGTCAGTACTAACATTGTCACCAATAAAAAAATAACTATTTTAATATATTTATATTTTAATATATTTTGAAATGTAATTTATTTCTGTGATGGCAAACTGAATTTGAGCAGCCATCACTCCAGGCTTATGATTTGATTTGCTGCTCAAGAAACATTTCTTATTATCAGTGTTGAAAGCAGGTGAGCTGCTTAATATATTTTTTTTTATCTCTGATAATAAAATAAACAAATGAAATGATAATAAAAATGATGATAAATAATAATAGATGATAATAAAAAAATAAAATTAAACATTTCTGAGCCCCAACTTTTGAATTGTAGTGCATATATTAATTTCACAGAAAAGCTTGCCCGAATCTGTGACATTGAAATTGTCATGCTTCACAATTGCAGCTTCTGAAGTTTCCTCCTCCTCTTACCTCTTCTCCTGGACCTCCTGGATGTTCTCGATGCCGATAGCACTGCTACGTCGAGAGCTAAAAGGTCCTGACTTTTTCCTAGTTGGGCTTTTTCCAGGAATGATCAAAGACTGCAGGAGAGAACAAGAAGGTCAGTGAGCCAAGGATTCATAAAGAAACACCTTCACACTGTGATGGTCACCAAGTGGTCTCAAAGGAAACTTTAAGGATAATACATCCTCTATAGGTCAGGTCTATGCTATACCACTTTTCTTATATCTGTGGCATGCTCCAGTCTTTTTGAGAACAAAAGACACTGTTTCGTAGCTTGACTGGCAGGGTGGATGTGAAGTGCGTGCTTGAGGGTTTCGGCCTGAACTGAGAGATGAAAGATGGGAGCAGGATCTCCTGAGCTTCACTGGGCGGCTGTGCTCTCGCTGGGGACACTTTGTTCTCTTCAAGCCTGAGCGCTGGGATTTTACAGCTAGTGCTTTATGACTTCAAATGAAAGGCCTTCAAAAAGGCTTTTATCTCAAATGGCTTCAAAGGCTTCGGAAAGACTCTCTGTTGCCTTTTTCCTTTGTGTTTCTATGCTATTAGCTCACAAAGAGTGTACAATTATCAGACGAGGGGATACACGGAACAGTACATACTACACAACAAGAAGTGACGTTGGACATTAAAAACGTAGCAGAGCTATGCATTACATGCAAGATGTGATGCTGGAAGGGGATCTATGATGAAATCTGTGACTTTTCACCATAAACATTAAACACTGAAACAATGCTGCTGAAAGTTGACGAATCTACATTGATATACATGGGTCATTTAAAAGAACTGTGGTAGAGGATATAAAAGTGTACAATATGACTCTAGCTGAACAATGCTTACTGTCAAAGTGGCTTATATTCAATAGGAATATGGCCTGTTTAGTAAGACTGGATAGTATGGCATGAATAAAATGATGGATGCACAATATATATGTTTCATATCAGTTATTGGCCAATATTAAAGATATTTTATTGTTATTGGCCGATATTGGATATTTAATTGTGCATGCTCTGCTTTTACAGTTGAACTTCGCTATCATGTAAAGCTCCTTTAAAGTTCATCTTTGCAAAATACTAATAATTTATGAATTAATAAAAACGTAACACTTTAAATGTAATACTTGTCTAAATGAATCTCAAAATCTCAAAATGAATATCCATTTTTCATGCAGCACATTATAATTTTGTGGTGCCTAAATTCACTTTAGCTTTTAAAATGATTGATTTTAGTTTTAGTTTTTAAAAATGTATTATTAGTTGTATTTATATAGGCAAAATAATTTATCGGTTATAAGCCACACGTTATTATTGCAAAGTTTTTTTTATTTAAAAATACAATGTAAAAATTTAAATGAAATAAAACAGAAATTAGAATGTTAGATGTAGACTTGTTAATGTATTCAGGGTAAAATGCCATATTTAATTGAAAACAATTAAAAACATTGCTGTGAAGAATAGACCAATGTTAATTTTTTTATTTTTATATTTCATGTATGTTTTAGTAATTTTGTTTTAAAAATGTGTAGATAGTTTTTATTCATTTTTAGTTTAGTTTTAGTTATTTTAGTATATCAGTTGTTAATTGAAATGTGAAACTAAATGACATTTATTTTTTTTTTTAAATAATGAAAGTCATTTTATGCATTTAGTTGTAGTTAACTATAATAACCCTGGAATAAACATAGTTTGTTAAGTGGGTGTATTATTATACACGGGTGGCAATCATTCTGTTAACAAAACATTGAAAATATGTGTATTTCCAAACAATTTCCAGTGGACAAACCTAATTTCTAAAACTTTTAAGCAAAACTTAAACAAATTAAACTGATGCACATCCATTTTTCAGACTCGTTTTTATTTGTGTAAAATGAAATATGGCATCAGCCCCTTACTATGAATTTCCATAATCTAATATTATATTATGATCAGTGCATTGAAAAAAGGACTTTAGCTGACTGTAACTGCAGCTGTATGTTGTAAAAGTCATGCGGTGAGAACAAATGATGCATATGAGAGAGGAGCGAGAGTTATACATGAACCTCTTCTATGGTTCCTATTCCTATGGCACTGCCACGCCGTCCATATTTACTGGGACTTTTGCCTGGGACAAGCAATGACTGCACAGATCCCACAGAGAAAGAGAGAGAGAACGAGAGAAATCATGAGTCCATGCAGCAGGTTATGTGTTATACAAACAAAATAGCCTACAAACATCTGCAGGAGAGACAGTTATCAAAGCATGAACAGCAAGAAAAAAGCTGTCATGAACACAACAGAGTAGCCACACAAGGAAAAAAGGGCCGGAGGAACCTCAGCAGGTACGAGGACCTGTGAAGGACAAGAAAGCTGAAGTAGGAGCACATAGCACACAATTGGTGACATTGGGACAGTTGACATTTGAACACAGTTTAACAGTTAGTCAGGTTAGTCAGACAAGGAAGTTAAAAACTTGCAAAAATGCAAACTATGCATACTCAGTTATATCATAGATCAGTGGCTCTCAACTGGTGGGTCGTGATATAAAAATGGATTGGCCTGTTGAAGCCAATGCATTTTCATATCAGTGTCCCACATGGAAGTGGAAAAATGCTAAAATAAGATACAAAATTTATAAAAATTTAAATTGTATCATATCAGGGTCCCACATAGAAGTGGAAAAATGCTCAAATAATAAAATAAAATAAAATTACAAAACTTTAAATTTTACTATCCATTTTGTTATTTTGCATATAGTTGGACCTAAGCACTTTACAGTTTCAATCTGGCTTTATGGATGTTTTTATTTACAATAAAATAAAATTGTACAAAAAATTAAAACTAAAATAAAATACAACAAAAATGTAAATATTAAAATAAAAAACTGAATTTTCAAAACTGTTCATTTTACAATCCAGTTTATGTTACTAGTTTGGCATATTGTTGGACCTATGTAAGTTTCAATGTAAATTTGAATATGTTTTTATTTACTTGTTTATGATAAATAATTTTGCTAAGTGTTGAGTTGTCACTTGACATGCAATGTACTGGGTCCTGCAGCAAAACCAGTTCATAACCACTGTCACAGAGGACCTTAGTGGGGCCTCCCATCACTGTCAATGGCCCTGGTTGTTCTGACTTAATCACCATAAGGGGATGAATCAATACACCATTTCTAATTTTCGCCTGTAACCTTTGGAATTAAATTCCCAATACCAAAATATTAGTTGTACTAAAATTTTGGTCTTTTGGTCAATATTCTCCATTGCATAACCTGTGTGAAGGCCATTTGACTGACATGGCATATGATAGCTCTATAAATAACAGAAACATTAACTGTGACAGAGGCATGGCTCAGTAACTCTGAAGTCTGTTCCAGTGCGAGACCCTGTGGGGAAAGTGGGATTTCACTCGACTCATATGAGTTGTGCTCACGAGGGGAGCTGGCATGACTTAGCATGGCTCTAGTCCCCAGGGCAAGAAGCAGCACCATAAGAGCCGCTGTGCTTGATGGAGCAAGAGCTAGCTGGCCGGACAATGCTGTCTCTGCACTTAAGCTGTGCAAGCATTATACTTACCAACAGGACACCTGCATATTAAAACATAAGCGCAGCAGAATCCATTCAACATGCACACACATAAATATGTAATTCTCCCAGCAGGTTCTCATGCGGTGCTGATGTGTGTCTGATCCTGTGGGGGATGTGGTAAGGTCAAAACATTCACAACCATCTTTATACTAACACTGCTGCAGGTCGCCTTGTCCTACTTCAAAATCAGATAATATTAATTCCTGAGAGACATTGCAAGGAAAATAACAAAAGAATGTCTCACATGATCCCTTGTAGATCTGACAGCCTTTCATTCCCTCATGAGCAACATGCAACACATTCCAGACTACTTTATGTCATGCACCCCTCAGAGGACCTCATCTTCACCATAACCAAGACACGCACCTCCTGTGATTATAACGGGGGTTAAAAGAATAACAGTCTTCTCTGGGGAAAGCGCAAATTCATATAACATGCTTTTGGGTCAATGACATATTTATACGGTAAAAGTGTCTGCAATAAAAAAAGAAAAGAAAACAGTTTTAAAAAATCAAGTTTAAAACATACATGTCAAGTTCTGATGGATGGTTTAATATAATTTTCTAAATAAAATTGCCTGAAAAAATGTCATGTGACAAATGCCATGCAACCATCATTATTTTCAAAAAGGGTTTTAAATATATTTTTAAAGGTAGTACTATTTTTAAAAGAATATTACAAATTATATAATCAAATTTATATATATATATATATATATATATATATATATATATATATATATATATATGTCTCAGTACATAAAACTGTAATATATATGCATGCCAAAATACCTAAGGTTTTTTCCCTTAAGTTCTAAAAAATATCAAAATATATTTTAATACAGAAATTATAAACAGGCTTATAATAGAAGAGATGCATTGAAGTCAGTTCCTCTATTAATTACATTTCTAATGTAGTTTAGAATAAATTAATAGATAGGAACTTCATGTCATTGACCCTTTTAACTCAGGAAACCCTGACTGTAGAGCAAGACCAGTGCATTTAAGTGACCCTTTCAAGAAACGTTCCTGAGGTAAGCGGTAAAAGGTCCAGTGAATAAGATCAGTGGCTGCAGAGATGACAGACAAAAAGAATGATGGGAATGAGGAAAGAAATGTTAAGGGACTGGTGCATGAGGAAAAATATTAATTAAATCAAAGTTGGTTGATTAATCATGAATTATTTCATCTTCGTTGTGTTGTTTAGTTCTCAGTTTGGCAACTCAGAGGATCTGTGCGTGTGCTTAACTTTCAGTGTAGTCAGGAATTAGTGAAGTATGTGTAACCAGGACTGGCTTTTTACCTCATAGTGGAGGGAAGTGAGGGGACTAGCATTGTTTGGCCCATTGGAAAGCCAGTAGGGCAGGGGGGTTACTTACTATCCCAGGGGGTTTGGGGGTCTCTGGTGAGTGGTGGTTGTTGTTGTTGTGGGTGAAACTGCCGCTGTGACTATTGGAGACTGTGTGCTTCCTGATATTGTGGCCCATGGTGTCCAGAGACTGGCTCCTGCTGCGGATCACCCGCTATATCACAGAGAGAGATGAGGAGGAGACACGGTGAGCAGCGGCAGGTCAGCGAGGGCCAGTGGAGTGGGTCTGAAGCCAATGAATCAAGTAGCTAAAACGACCTGAGCAACACCTGAGTGAAGAGTGCAGTTTTGTTCGTTAAAGAAAAAAGCAAGTGGGCGGATGGAGGACAGATGATATGAAGCTAGCAGAGAGCTTGGCTACTCACGACTGAAGCTTGCAACCAATAGAGGGCAGAATCGCCTGAGAGTGTTAATGGATATTGATTAAACATCACCCACTAAAGTGCTGCCCAATTTCATGGGACAATCCCAGAATGCCACAACCACAGATGAGCTGTGTCTATGCTAATGAGTTCGGCTATTGACAGCTGCTGATGAAAACTGTGTGAATAAGTGGTTGCGGAAGCAAATATAATAGGTTAAAAGACAGATAATGAAAATGATTTATGAGAAGTCTGATCGATTTTTCATTTCTGGATGACCACAATCAATGCGTGAACACCACTGAACACCTTCAATTATAAACCCGGCTGCCACGCACATACAAACGTTCTGTCAGTAATGAATTATTGCTATGGAAAATTCAGTCTACTTGAAAAATAACCTTGATATTCTCATTAGGCATAATGCTACAGAGAAATATTTGTGTCGTGTATGATTAATCATGTACTACTGATTAATTTGCAAAGTATTTCAGGAAGCAAAACACTGTAGAGCATAAGATAAATCTCATGAGTGGATCCATGCTTGACAATGTGCTAATAGGATATAATTAGTGTTAATTATGGTAATGAGTAATTAAATTTAGGTAGCATCGGTTACATCACTTGACAGCTGGAGTCATAAAGACACCGCTATCTAAATCCCAAGAGAGAAAAATATGCTACCGTTCATAAAGTGTAACAGCAGCAAGATAAAAAAAGACTAGTCTGAACCAGAGTTATTATCACTAACGAAAACCATAAAACTGTTAACTGACATAAGATATAAAAAACTTAAGCTTATTTTATTTCAGCTAGTTTCTAAGGCTGAATTTATGTTTGTTTTGTTTACAACTACTGATTAATTTGCAAAGTATTTCAGGAAGCAAAACACTGTAGAGCATAAGATAAATCTCATGAGTGGATCCATGCTTGACAATGTGCTAATAGGATATAATTAGTGTTAATTATGGTAATGAGTAATTAAATTTAGGTAGCATCGGTTACATCACTTGACAGCTGGAGTCATAAAGACACCGCTATCTAAATCCCAAGAGAGAAAAATATGCTACCGTTCATAAAGTGTAACAGCAGCAAGATAAAAAAAGACTAGTCTGAACCAGTTATTATCACTAACGAAAACCATAAAACTGTTAACTGACATAAGATATAAAAAACTTAAGCTTATTTTATTTCAGCTAGTTTCTAAGGCTGAATTTATGTTTGTTTTGTTTACGCTGAAGTACTAAAATAACTAAACCTAAATAAATACTAATGAATAACTAATACTAAATAGACATTAAAAATGGAAACTAATAAAAATGACAAACAAACACTAAACTTTACTAAAACTTTAACTAAAATGAAAACAGAAAATATAAAAATCAAATCAAATTTAAACTATTATCAAAATTATTATATTATTATACAAATATGATAGTATATAAAGACAGTAAAATAACACTGCTCTGAATGAACGACTCATCTCATGTCAGGAAAGGATTTATGACCACAAACCAAATCCACCCCGTCCAGCATTCACACACAAGCCACAGCAATGCTTCACAAACATCCCCATCCCCCTCTATTCTGGATGTAAGTGCCCTCACAGAGACCCCAGAGCCCTGTGTCCTTGTGGATTACCTTGAAAGACTCAAAGAAGCCCCCTCCCCCTCCTCCTCCATTCTCCAGTTTGTCCTCCTCTCCTCCCAGCCCCATCATAGCCTGACTGTTGATGTGCAGCTCCTCGTACAGCGTCTCCAGCAGAGCAGACCGGGTACGCTCCTGGTGATACAGCGTACTTGTATTTAGACATACATAGAATACATTTGAACATACTAAATTAATGCTAGATGAGGCTTGTGAATTTATTTTAGGACATTTACATTACATGTATGCATTTGTTAGTCGCATATATCATAAAATACATTTTATTAATACATTGCATTTAAAACCATAACCTTGGTATTGCATATGAGCACTGATTTCTGACAACTTAATGACACTCACCTCTAATTTGGCAAATTTTTCTGCTTTGTAACAAGCGTATTCAGCATTGATCAACTTGGTAAGCAAGAATTCCCGAAACTCTGGGCCCTGAGAGAGGCAGGAAGGTGCAGAAGGAGAACAAATGAGAGGGATACAGATGATTTGAAAAATTTTATTTAGAAAAATAAATGAATACTTTTATTCCATTAAATTGATCAAAAGTAATTGTAAAGGCATTCAAATATAAAAACAATTCACATTCTTTTGAACTCTATAGTCATCAAAGAATTCTCAAAAAATAATACATTCTCCACATAAATATTAAGCAGCACAACTGTTCTTAACATTGAAAATAATAATGATAAATGTTTCTTGATCACCAAATTGGATCAAGTGACACTGAAATTCACAGCAATAAATTGTGAAATCGCAGGAATAAATTTCAAATGTAATACTGTTTCACAATATTACAGTTTCTACAGTACTTTTAATCAAATAATTGCAGCCTTGAGAATAGGAGAACTTTAAAATCTTACTGACCCAAAACATTTGAAATGAAAACAATTGTATTAAGCAGATACTTTTTTCCCTGAAATGCCACTTAAAGAGCATTTACTGTATATATTTCATCAGTGCATTCCTTAGGACCTGAACCCATGACCCTGATGTTGCTAGTGGAATGCATAAATACTCCACTTCCATTTATTTAGATTCATCAACTCACTTTCTTAAAAATGGCTGGGTTGGGGAGGGGTGGTCCGAAGAAGGGGACGTCATCTCTCGCTGTTACTGAAACCTGGACAATGACAAATGCATGCATCACTTACTGACTCACAGAGAGGTGTTACAGAAGCGCTAGATTGCAGTAATACTGTGATGATGTACCTTGTACAGGACGTTGTCAGAACAGGCATTTTCAACTTGCACCACTACGTAGGCATGCAAAAAGTTGGAGGCAATCATGTCTGGCACAAATGGAGTGTTCTCGTCTTGAAACATGATGGCCACAATGTCATTTCCTATATGCCTCTTCCTTTGTAGCTGTGATAACAAAACAAGATAGTTCACTTTTATAATTCTTCATTTAAATGTAACGGTACTCCTTAAGTAACAGTAGCACTCTCATCAAACTCAAATAGTATACAGCTGTTAAAGTGAGATTTCTTTGGCATAATTTAAAATGTATTAGCAGCTTTCAAGCCAAAGAAGAATAAAAAAGTGGGTCCTGGATGCTGATTGGTCAAAACAGTGTTGCAGTCTACTAAAATAGAAACTATAGTAATGTATGATGCAAAACACTTGTTCACCATAGTTTCATAAAAAGCCAACTATTAATGTTTAATTAACCTACATACAGTTAAAATCTAAATAAAAAAATATATATATATTTTAATATATTATTCAAATAAATATTTTCTATTTTAATGTTGTTGCTTTAAAAAAATTTTTTTTTTTAATGTAATTTATTCCTTTGGTGGAAAAGCTGAATTTTCAGCAGCCATTACTCAACAGTCTTCAGTGTCACATGATTCTTCAGAAATCATTCTAATATTCTTTCAGGATCCTTTAATAAACAGAAAGTTTAAAATAACAGTGTTGATTTGAAATATAAATCTTTTGCAACATTATAAATGTCTTTACTGTCAGTTTTGGTCAATTGAATGTGCATTTGATGACTAAAAGTTTTCATTTCCAAACTTTTGAACAGTAGTGTATACTGCTAAAGAATAACAAGACATAATAAATTAGCTTTAAAGAATGCTGTTTTAATTCAAATTCACGTCTTTAATATTTGTATCATGCCATTATATAAAACCACTAAGGCACTTATGCAGAATATGTGCTTTATTCTGAATATCCATTGCATATTATGCCTTTTATACATGAATATATACAAATCACAGCGCAACATCTTGCACTTTATCGCTTAGGAATGAAATGAGCCTGTCCAAACATTTGATGTAATATACAAACCCACAGTTGCGATTAGTGTCGTTAAATGCTCTTCTGGCAGACATCTGATGATAAATTCCATTACTTTTTGAGGTTTCATTTATGTGTCAATGATGCCATGTGCTGAAGTTGTTTTTCACAACATGTCTCAACAGATGGCTGGCAAGGGCAAACACAGAGGTTGCAGCCGCTCATTTAAACATGGACATCAGTTCACCAACTCAATCTGCTGTCAACCTCCAATCACTGCAGAGTGTGTGTGTGCGCACATGACAGTGAGAGAGAGAGGAGCGCGCTTCATGTGTTCTAAATCTAGAAGATTCCCTGAGGAGTGAGCTCTAAAAACACTCTTCCTCAGAGGACACAGCGCTGCCAGTGAAGGTGCAGAATAAAGGTCACTTTATGAGTCAACAATAATCTGCCAGCACATCAGCAGTGTGTGGCTGCAGAAAACAGCATCTGCCACAGTGCTAAGGAATGGATTTCTCCCCTCCTGTCAATCCAGATGGCTCATACCTATGTGGCTTGTTATATTATTTTGCATCTGAACAGTATCTACAATGACGGATAATCAGGGACAACTGATTATATTTTGTTCCACTAATGCTTACCACAGTTGTATTGATTAGGATCTAGAAGCAGGGAAAACACATGTGCTATGAGTGACCCTCTCACTGTCTGAACCCACAGCATTGTGAGTACCTGCTGTGTATCGCCCTCTGTGAAAGGCAGCTTAGTTGACACGTGGAACATGATCTCCTTGTTGTGGAAATTGTGGTACACAGATTCAGAGCCTGTCTGTCCATGTGTCACGTCCAATCCTCCACGAAACCTAGTAGAAGAAAGCATATTCAAGGATTCTGCTGTCAAACATGAAGGATATCGTTAGCATTAACCTTCGCAAAGACAATAGCTGTGTCACATTTAAAAGGCTGCACCCTCTAGAGGTCTCTGTAGGATGCATATACGAAGTGTCCTCAACCTAGAATTAAATGAGACGGCCTTCGTAGGACAGGCGGAAAAGGAAACAGGAAGTATCACGTTGCTATGCCAACACATTTAGAGCATCGTTGCGCTCTCACACTACTTAAATTAAGGAAAGTTATTTCTAAATTTGGAAAGTAATTAGAATTTTTTTTTTATTTTGTTCAATGTTTGAGGAGCTGCATCGTACCTACAGCAGACATCTGTTAGAGAAGAAAAAAAAGGAGGAGGATATTAAAAACAAAGTTTATCCGTTTTTACCGAGGCGAATTAAGGTAAGTTGTAAACACCACATCTGCGCTTGTGTGTACGTTAGATCTGCCGGCGCTGGCATTTTTCAAATTAACAACGGTTGTTCACGGTGACGCAAAGAATTGTGGGTTATCTGTAGCAGCAAAGGATACTCCTCGTGCATCCTCCGAATTCCTGTGAAAGAAGGTCGCATTCGAAGGTCGCATTCGGAGTGTCCTACTTGCTTTTCTGAAATGAGACAGCCTCGATGACGTATACAGCCTTCGAATGTGACCTACGGAGGGCGCAGCCTTCTAAATGAGACACAGCTAATGAATCCTAGTTTTGTAGCAAAACTTTATCATATATGGATATCTTTGTGAAGGTTACATAAAAAAATTGCAAAATGGTTTGCAATGCTATTTCTGCACAAAACTTGTGTTCTATTATTCAGTAATCACTCACAATCTATGGAGGACTAGGAGAGCCACATAAAAATGTAATTAAACAAATGCGAAAAGGATAAGAAAATCTATTGGTTTTAAACACGTCTATTTATTTGTCAATTTAAAATAATTTATTATTTATTGTTAGATTTCACTATATAAACATTCATTAAACATTAATTACACCATTTAAAAGTTATTTATTCACATCTTTATTTTTAATGATTTCATAAATAATTATTAATAAATTAATAACATAAATTAAATTCCTTTATAATTTAAGTGGCTTACCTTGTTCTGTACTGTTTTATTTTATTATTTATTTTTATATGATTAGTATATATTTTATTAGTATTTTACTAATTATTAAATTTTTTTAGTTTTCATTTTAATTGTGTGTTAAGTTTTAGTAATTTTGTTAAATGCTTGTCATTTTTATAAATTTTTGTTTTTTCATTAAATATTTCTATTTAGCATTAATTTACTTCTATTTTAGTTCTAGTAATTTTATACTTGACCTTAAACATTTTATTTGAGTTAGTTGCCAAGGCAACATTTGAAGTTTATTTCAATAATATTTATAATAGTGCTGTAAAACGATTAATCGCATCCAAAATAAAAGTTTTTGTTTGCACAATATATGTGTGTGTTCTGTGTATATTTATTATGTATATATAAATACACACACATGCATGTATATATTTCAGAAAAAGATGTTTATTTATAATATAAATTATATGAATATAAACATAGACGGAAATGTAAATATATACTGTATATATACATAATAAATATACACAGAACACACATATATATTATGCAAACAAATTTTTTTTATTTTGGATGCGATTAATCGCGATTAATCGTTTGACAGCACTAATTTATAATATTTATTAATATATTAATATTATTAATATTTTAGTAACATTTATATTTTTCATCTTCATTTCAATTAACAAAATAATTTGTAATAGTTTTAATTATAATAACACTGACTTGATAATAATAACATTTTAATAATAACACTTCTTGTGTGATTTGGAGGAGCTATAACAGAGCTATAAGAAAGTGCAGTTCATTCTTAGTGAAATCTCTCCTCAGAAGTGCACAAATACAAACACCAACATCCAAAGCTTCTATTTTAATTAATTCATGCTGTTAAACATTTCATCTAGCGCGTCTACATCTCGCTTGTGCCGCATTGAGAGAGAGTGTTACCCTTTGAAGTCATGGAGCTCGATTTTCTGTCCCAGAAACTCTAAAAACTCCACCAAAGCAGGACTCTCCTCGTTATTCCCAAACAACTCCTCCTCTGAGGTCTACACAGATAAAAACACATAAAATGCTTAAAAGTTTCAAACAAACATTTGTGTTGTGCCCTTGGCAGCAGACACAGTAACCCTTCAGGTACAATAGAAGGTCAACACAACACAGAAGCTTCATGCATTATCATTACTTCAATTACTGAACAAAATAACAAAGTAGTTCAGTCTTTCATACATCACAAGAAAACATAATGACAATGCTTTATGTTACAGCACAAAGCCCGACATTCAACAAACCCCATATGAAACGAACCCACACACAAAAAACAAGAACATCTTGATGAGGACAAAAGCAAACTCTAAAATTAGCAAACCTAAATGGCTCATTATGAGTCAATTAGCTTGATGAAAATGCAAATTGTTCCTCTGAATAAACATTGTCTCCCATTTAGAGTCAAGGAGGGCAAGCGGAAGTTTTAAGGGCTGATCCATAAGGAGCGTTTTAGACATGAGAACGTCCCATTAAGGTCTCTGTGTTCTTGCTACCCACATTGGAAAGATTGAGTGTGTAAACACACTGATCTGTGAGATGAGAGGCTGTTCAAGTGCATCTTGCAGCCTCCACTGTCATGCTAATACGCTAAGGGCGTTGCTGGCAAGCGTCCTCGAAGAACCTCTCAGGCACCTCTCACTCTCTGCGGCCTTAAAGGTCAAGGATCTGCCTTAATGCAATCAAAGCTCTCCTCTGGGAACAATTGCCTCATGATTTTAATAAAAGACAAATTAAAAGACGGCTATAAAAGACGGCTTGATTGTTGTCTAAGCAGAGGAGCCATTGTAGGGTCGAGAGAAGGAAGGACTACTTTGTTCAAAAGAATGGTGTTGTTCTAAATAAAGATGAATTATGATGGTGAGTTACAGCACCAATTCATCTCTGTGCATCGGCTAAATGAGAGGAAATTGTTTGTGAAGAAGCTAACAGAGATAAGGCTTCCCATGCGACTCACCTGTCCAAACTTCTGATAAATGACTCCAAACTTGAAGTTGTTGCTTATGACGTGTTCGTCGAAAGTGACGATGAGCCTGGAGGCCTGTGGCAGAGTAGATGTTTTCAATAGCATGATGAATGTCCTTTAGGTACTGCTTTGTCAACGTTGCAAACCCAAAGAGACGATGAGCAATACTTTTGCAGAAACTAGCATATTTCCCAGTGCCACACTTTAATTAACCAGGACAAATTAATAAATGATTATGTGCTAGTGAGTTAAGCGTATCACTTTGGTGCAGGTGGGTCATACAAAAAGATTGATTGTAATTGTTGTGTACCTTTGGGTATCACTTTGGTGCAGGTGGGTCATACAAAAAGATTGATTGTAATTGTTGTGTACCTTTGGGTAAAGCACTGGGAAAAATCGGTCCACATTCACCTCTTCACAGACGAGCTGATGATAACGAAAAGAAAAACACATATTGATTCGTTCCTCATTCTCATCTGATCTTGCAAAAGTGATGCAACACTACGGTCATCTGTCCAAGCAGGACAGAACAGGCTCATGGGAGAGTGAGACAATCAGTCATGTCACTCGGAGAGAAGTGTGATAAATTGGAGGGCCTGAAAACAATAGTGCTGACCCCTTAACCCCCTCCGCACTTGATTCACTCTCACCTTGGCCATCTGGACAATATTGGGGAATTCGGTCAGACAAGATATTGGAATCACGTCGTGATATGTTTTCATTTTTGTTCTGTAAAAAAAGGAAAAACATTTGTAGACATAAGATGATTTTATATATATATATCATGTATCGTTTTGAAGACACACACACCTATAATATACATATATATATATATTGTTCCCGTGGCTCAGTGGTAGAGCATTGCATTAGCAGTGCAAAAGGTTGTGGGTTCAATTCCCAGGGAACACACATACTGGTAAAAAATGTATAGCCTGAATGCACTGTAAGTCGCTTTGGATAAAAGCGTCTGCTGAATGCATAAATTATATATATTATCACCCTGTTTGGACTTTGGTTGCTTGTTCATTGACCTAGCCTGTATCCCAATGTGCATACTATCCATCCTAAATTCTATGTGATATTAGTAATTTTCAATACTATTTAGGGCAGATAGGGTGGATAGTATGCACATTAGGATGCAGGATTAAAGGTGCAATAGATGATTGTCTTCAGAATTTTTTTTTGTTATGCTGGTTGAAAGTCTCTTCACATCCCGATAGCAATCATTAAGTTAAGTGGTCTAAATGTATTTATCTGTATTTATATATTCTCGGAAGGCGTAGGACCATGAAATGTCGTTCCGAGCGTTTTAATTGGCTTTCCTACCTGCCTGTCAACATATGTATTAGCATACCTCTGTGCACCCGGTTCGCGCAGACAGGATACGTCATCAGCTCGTTCACACACGCAGTGCAGACAGAGCGAGAATGGCAGACCAACATCAACAACCCAAACTTCCTTCCTGGTATTGTAGTCCATTTGAAATTTTCTCACCGGTGAATGACACATGATGTAGCCCAGCGGTTCCCAATTCCAGTCCTTGCGCTCCCCCGGTTTGCATATTTTGCATGTCTTGCTTAGTTAACACACCCGATTCAGATAACCAGCTCGTTAGAAGAGAGCTACGTGCATGAACTGTGTTCCGATTGATATGATCTTTACGCAGTGTTCATTGCTCCCTACTTCCTGAGCAGGGGAAATCCGTTTAAGTTTACTTCACTTCGCACCATGAATGGAATTGGGAACCGCTGATGAAGCCTATTGTAGTATTGTTGTCTCTGGTATTCTGGTCTGTGAGCGTATATGTGTTCAGGGGGCGTGGCTTTGGACAGCGATTGCAGGGAGGGTGGGACGTTCGCGTTCAGTGCTATTAGGCTAAAGTTAGCATTTTCCAAGATCTCCTACTGCACCTTTAAGTTTCTGTTTCCCCTTGATTGCTTAGTTAGTTCACCTGTGTCTAGTTAATTTAGTCATTAGCTCCTCTTCCGTTTGTATAAATCCCCTTCCTTTAGTTCTCTGAGTTGTCGGTTATTGTTGAATGTTACCCTCGTGTGTGGATGTAATAAATGTCTCTTTGGAATTATCTTCTTCGTGTGCTCCTCGTCCTTAAGCCCGAGACCCACTGCATGATTTTAGCAATCCTATAAGATCATTGCATGTCACACTGTTCGACATGGATCTAATAAACTTGGCTACGACGTGTGTAGACACCTATTGACTCATAGGCTACGACGCACGTTTCTATAGAAGAATAAAACATCATCAGCATGCACTAGTGGTAAACAAAACGAGCTTAATAAATCACACTTTAGCAGTTGTAGTTTTTATGTGTGCTGAATAAAAGTGGAAGCGGCGAAAGAGGAAGGAATAAGAGCTTGAGGTAAGCAGTTTTATGTTTTAGCGCCATGTCGTGTTGATTTCATGTCGCATTTTTATTGGCTGGTCAGTAAACGGGGATCGTACCAGCAAACAAACTGTGCGATGATCATGTTGTATCGTTGGCTATCGTTGGCTATATTAGGAGCCATGATCAAAGAAAATGCCACGATTGTTTCACGATGCCAGTCTGGGACAGCCGAAAATCGTTTGTCTCTGGCTTTACCCCACACAGAAGCGTGACATATATATATACAGGTGCATCTCAATAAATTAGAATGACATGGAAAAGTTCATTTATTTCAGTAATTCAACTTAAATTGTGAAACTCGTGTATTAAATAAATTCAATGCACACAGACTGAATTAGTTTAAGTCTTTGGTTCTTTTAATTGTGATGATTTTGGCTAACATTTAACAAAAACCCACCAATTCACTATCTCAACAAATTAGAATATGGTGACATGCCAATCAGCTAATCAACTCAAAACGCCTGCAAAGGTTTCCTGAGCCTTTAAAATGGTCTCAGTTTGGTTCACTAGGCTACACAATCATGGGGAAGACTGCTGATCCGACAGTTGTCCAGAAGACAATCATTGACACCCTTCACAAGGAGGGTAGGCCACAAACATTCATTGCCAAAGAAGCTGGCTGTTCACAGAGTGCTGTATCCAAGCATGTTAACAGAAAGTTGAGTGGAAGGAAAAAGTGTGGAAGAAAAAGATGCACAACCAACCGAGAGAACCGCAGCCTTATGAGGATTGTCAAGCAACATCGATTCAAGAATTTGAGTGAACTTCACAAGGAATGAACAGAGGTTGGGGTCAAGGCATCAAGAGCCACCACACACAGACGTGTCAAGGAATATGGCTACAGTTGTCGTATTCCTCTTGTTAAGCCACTCCTGAACCACAGACAACATCAGAGGCGTCTTACCTGGGCTAAGGAGAAGAAGAACTGGACTGTTGCCCAGTAGTCCAAAGTCCTCTTTTCAGATGA